GTTAACAAAACACTAAAACCCAAAACAAGAAATTTAATGAAAGCTTACGATGTTTTATTAGCAGCATAGAATATAGGGAGCTTTCCTCTTCCTTTCCCTTCCCATGATCTTGATATAGATTCAATAACTTGCTCGATCTGTGTGCCTGCTGCGGTCAAAACAAACTGGAACACTAATTTGCTCAGTGGCTAAATCAAGATCAATAACAGCAAAGATTGCAGTGGCAGATACACGATGAACAAATACTTGAAAAATAAAACAAGAACAATTCAAGGGATGCAATTATTGGCGCTGGTTTCTTTTTAGGCGAAAAAATTAACCAAACTCACACCAAAGAGGAGTCAAAATGTAGCAGGGAATGCCCCCACACTGTTGCATCTATCTTTGGGGTAGAACCTAATAGCTAACTAATATTCACTTCTTCTAGCATACCATCTACAAAGCCTTTATCCCAAAATTTTAGGTTCAGCTATACAGCTACAAAAGTTCTGTTCTTCCATTCAGTTTTGTCAAGTATTCGAGTTAACTATTACTATATCCACTACATGAATTCTATTCTTCCATTCAGTTTTGTTATGTGTTCAAGTTAACTATTACAATATCCCTCTCAACTGCTCCATGCCCCATTAAGCATAATCTTACAATTTCTCTTAACTTGTGCATTTAGTGTCCTCTATTGTACATGACTGGACCAACTCAGATGATGTAACATCAAACTTTCTTTGAACTATTTATAAGGCAAGACAAATAGATGTCATTCAAGAATTTGAGCAGTCCAATAATTAATTAAACAGGTACCCGTCAGTTCTAATCAAATCAATTAACCTGAATGGCCTATGTCAAAAAACAGGCTCACTGATAGACATTGATCTATTAGAAATTTAGAATGCAACATATGCAGGACAATAAGTGCAAAATAAGAAAGAAAGATGCAAGAAATATACATGCCCTCACACACACAGTGACAGCCTATAATAATAAACAAATATTTTTTTTTGAGGATCAAAGAGGGTCAAGAGTATACCAGGGGAAAAAGTATAGCCATTACTCCATAACTTACAAGCGGAGAGAAAAAGAAAATCGCGAGTACACATGGACTTCCTGAAATCATCAATGAGCAACATAGTTTAGAAGGAATTATGGGAATCTATATATAAATTTAATTAAGAAATTAAATTTTTGGTAGGGGATAATGGATATGAGCTGCCACCTTATTTAGTAAAATGCAACGTCAAGAGATGAATTGGTGAGGCCATAACATTAGATGTGACTAGTAGGGTGGGCCTCGTTGCTAGTCTCTCTCTTAGTACATCATTTAGCAAAATGAGCTGACATGTCATACCCATTATTTCCTTTTAGAAATCACATTACAAAGTAACAGTATATATGTACAAAATATAGGTGTCGCCTTCAGATAAACAAGTGTCATTCCTGATAACAGTTGTATTAAAACTATTAAACGAGATAACATGATTGCATTTTCTGAAAAGCAAAAGCACACTTCAAGAACTGACATAAATGTGATTTTGCACCTTATAAATTAAGCAATGTTTTTTCATCATTCAGCATCGTGCATTTATTACATTTATCAGATATCACCCGCTATAAAAATTATTCCACTTGGCTCTTTGAATTATTTTGTGAATCCGAGATAATGACATTGCCTAAAGCAAATCATGTTACCATACAACTTCATCTAGACCTATACATAGAGTGGGAGACAGCTCAGTTGCATGAGCTTAACCGAATGACTGAAAGAAAAGGAAGGCTACCTATTCAGCTGTTAAGATACTGCAACTTGGCCACCCTTCATAGTTTGTGGGCCAGGACTGATGGTGAAATTATCTATCAACAACAGTATTAACGGTAAAACTTACTGTATATTGAGAATCAGGTACATCTTCAAAAACGAAATAACTTTTTTTTAATATCTACCCTGTTGAAACCTTCCATATTTACATAACCCCTTTTGTTCATAAATATCTTAAAAAGAGTATTTCCTGAATGCATCCTGTAAATGAGGAGGGTTTTGTAAAGTTCAATAGATACCAGGATTTGACATGAAAATATGAAGATTTTAGAGGGTTAGATATCGAGGACAGACACCCTATTTTCATAATTCCAACCACTCAGACAAACAAAGTGTGGCTCTAGCATGGTAAAAGTAACATGAAGAAGCATCTAAGACGGTTCGCCAGTAAACTATTATTATGTCACTACTTGCTCTTAACAAAATCTATCAAGGTAGCATCAATTTGATTTAATGAGTCATTACAGGAGAAAAAAGGAATAAAGCACTCTTAGCAATACCAAATCCTAAGAAGAATGCCCAATTTGATTCAAATAAGTCCAGCCTTTTATCCAAAGCCATCTCAGAATGATTCCATTTGTACCTGAAGACATAAAGGTTTATGTCTGTTAGCCCTCGAATGCATTTTCCCACAAAACTCTACATACAGAACAATATTAAGTGTAAGTTTTTTTTTGAGAATCGGATGCTTACTCGAAACAATAGTATGCATACATCCAGGAAAGGAGCAGAAAATTGATCGTCTTGCCGACATAAGGTATAAATCCTGTCAAAGAGACCTGCACCATTATGTGTGAAAAGTGAAAACTAAAGTTATAATTATACTCCATAACCACTCAAAGAAAAGGTTGGTAAACTATTTCAACATGTCAAGTGAAACAAAATTCTTCATAAACATGTTGTACGTAAAACGGAAGCATAGATATCATAGAACACATGTAATCCTCAAGCAGAAAAAATCGCACCACTGCACCTCTATGAAGAAAATTGTCAATAAAAGGATTGAGTAAACCAGCTCGCCAATTCCAAGAATGACCCTGTTCAGGATGAAAGCATGGAGGTACTTTAGGTAACATGACAAGTATCTAACTTCTTTAATTGGGTTTAATAGTACTCAATAACTTCAAAACAACCAGCTAACACTGAACTCACCCCTCAAATCCACCTGGCCTCTGTTGATCTGATGAATCTTTTGTGATAGGTACTTGGGTATCAGAAAGTCCTAATCTTTTCAAAGCATCAAAAGCCTGCTTAGCAATGTCGTTATACCTGAATTAGAACAAATAACAAAGGTATAGTTTTAGATAACAAAGACAATAACAAAAAGATCTCGACCATTTTCCTCACATGCGTACATGTGTATTTGACTCATAAATTGAGTTCATATAATTTTAGTAAAATGATGAATAAAATATTTTTTTAAGGGAACAACATACTCCATCTTATATATAATTTTTAAGCCAAATAGCACTTTACAAATTTATGCAAGGATGTACACACATATCATGTCTAATTTTATAGGATACTCCATTTTGTTGCCAAGAAAAGTGTTCCATATATCATACCTTGTGATAAATATTCTATTGCTGCTGCACCATGATTAGTTCGTGTACTAGTTACGCATTTTAGTAGAACTGAACATTTCCACTCATTAAACATAAATACAATAGACAGGTATACAATCTGGAATCTATTGATCACCAAGAGTATGCCTACCAGATACTGCTGAGCACAATGCTAAACACATAGAGCGGATAGAACCAGAAAATCTGAAAATAAACATAACAAATAGTCAGGAAATGATGATAGCATGAATGCATAAGAATAGTGCTTAGTTACTGGAAAGAATGAAAACGTACAAACAAAGGGTTAAAAAGTTAATAAGAATAACAAGATGGCTAACTATTTCAATGTCAAAATTGTTGAAGACGGCTAACTATTTCAATGTCAAAGTTGTTGAAGACATTGCATAATATAATGGTAAAAAGTCAAGTCTGACTAAATGAGTATAGATGCAATGCTAAAAATATAAATTAAAACCCTTTAGGTAGAACTCCAGAAGTTTAATCATTAGCATCTAGTGGAAAGTTGAACACAATATAACTTTGAGGATAATCACAGATACGTTGATTTGAAAGCATCAAACGACTTTAGCTTTAAAGATAGAAGCTGGCAGCAGAATCTATTTTCTTCAAACAAAATAACAGTGGCAAAGTGATGGGGATCGGCAAGAGGGCTTCCAAATTCAACGCCAACCCGGATCCGATAGGAAAGCACGATATTCTCGATGCTGTGAATTTTGGTGGGTGCTCGAATCTGAACGAGATCTGAAAGGGGGAGACGGTAGACTTTTCAGTCATCGATAATTTTCCAGAGCCGTGTTGTAAGACCTTGGCAGCGAGGGATCATAACTCATTAAGGGACGATCGGAGGAGATTCGGCGATGGAGATACTCAAGCAGAGACCGTCATTGGGGTACGTAATCGGGTTCGAAGGATTGTGGCATCATTGGAGGCGACTGGTTTCGGATCTTGAGGCAGCGGCGGATAGTGTTCATCTGTGAACAATACCTTTTTTCAGGGTTTGTGGTTGAGATCGGATGACTAGGATTGAAAGTGGAGAAATTTTAGATAAATAAGTAAGTCTCACACTTAGGGACTTCACACCCTAAAGAAAAAAGGCAAATCACATGCCAAAAAACACCTTGCATGCTCCAGAGAGAAGTCTCAAACTAATTTTTTTTATTCATTAATGTCTTTTCCTCATGGAGGATTACATTTCTTATTTAGAAGAAAAGAAAGCAACTAAATACTTAAGAAAGTAAATAAAAATCCTAATCAAATCAAAACCTAACAAAAATAGAAGATGCAATCAAATAAAATCCTAACTAAAATAGAAAGAGATTTTAAAATAAAATACTAAAAAAATCCTAACTAAAAAAGATTACATGAAATCAAATCAAATATTACTAAAATTAAAATTATTCTAATAGATCTTAAAATCTTTTGATAAATGGTCCATGATTATCCTGCATCAAATCTCCCATTGTTAGAGAAAACTCAACCTTGAGTTTTATAATGGGAGAGTGTAATATTTGACTTGACTGGTAAGAGGAATTCTTTGTAGATTGCAAGATCTTCAAGATAAGCTGTAAAACCCGATATTGAGTTGGTGGTGGAGAGTCTAGAATAACAAACTCAATAACTAGATTATCTTGAAATTTGTACTACACATCGATCTTAAGTTTAGATTCTAGACTTGACTTAAAGCTTTGGGTTTGATTTAAGCTCGAGCGTTAGATCGACCTGCTGCTTTGTTTTTGGTTCTAGCTCTCGTTTAAGCTTAGACTCTAGATCTATCTTTTGATTTACTTCTTTCGGGTGCAGTTCAGGCTTGCATTCTGGATTGGTCTTTTGATCTACATTTGATTCTGGTTCACACTCAGACTCGGGCTTTGGTTCTTGATTAAATTTTTGATCTTGCTCTACTTTCTCATTTGACTCAAGTTGAGGCTTCGAATCTGGATTAAAATTAAATTTTGATTGAAGATCTATATCTGGCCGGGGTTGAGGAATTTGTGTTGGCTTTGCTTCAGAATTTAAAGAGAAACAATATCTTTTGAACGGAGGACTAGAATACCTCTTTTCCAAAAAAACTTTCATAGTTGTCAATGAACAGATGTTTGAATGATAATAGTATATATACCACCAATATTTTACCTCTCTCTTTAGCCTACACTCAGCATATAAATACATTTCCAGCTCTGATATATCATAGATAGAAAATATATCTTTTATATTGAAAATCCAGACGTTAAATTCATAAGGTTCTTCATATCCATCAAATCCATAAAAGTAAGCTAGAGTACCAAATTTAAGTAGATTAAAATCATACCCTTATGAAAGTAGCGATATTTTACCCCTAATAATTGTAGATCCTTCGGCTTTGATACCAAATGATGGGAAAACACGAGATTCTCGATACTGTGAATTTTGGTGGGTGCTCGAATTTGAATGGGATCTGAAAGGGGAAGACGGTTGATTTTTCAGCCATCGATGACTTTTCAAAACCGTGTTGTAAGACCTTTGCGGCAATGAATCATGACTCATTAAGGGACGATCGGAGGAGATTTGGCGATGACAATACTCAAGCGAGGGTCATCGTTAGGGTACACAATCGGATTCAAAGGATTGCGGCATTATCGGGGGCGAATGGTGTCAGATCTCAAGGTGGCGATGATTCATCCATGAATAGTAACTTTTCTTTTTTGGGGTTTGTGGTTGAGATCAGATGGCTAGGATTGAAAGTGAAAAAAAATTAGATAAATAACTAGGGCTCACACCTAGGGAATTCATACCCTAAAAAAAGCAAATCACATGCGCAAGAAAGAATTCTCAAACTAAAGCAAATCACATGCGCAAGAAAGAATTCTCAAACTCAATTTTTTTACTCATCAATGTCTATTCCTCATAGAGGATTACATCTCTTATTTATAGGGAAAAAAAGTAACTAAACACTTAAAGAAGTAAATAAAAATTCTAATAAAATCAAAACTTAACAAAACTAAAAGATGCAATCATATAAAATCCTAGTTAAAATAGAAATAGATTGCAAAATCAAATACTGAAAAAATCCTAACTAAAAAAAGATTACATGAAATCAAATTAAATATTACTAAAATTAAAATTATTCTAACAGATCTTAAAATTTTTTGATGGACGATCCATGATTGTCCTGCATCAGAAAAGAGTAATATAATACGATTATTGTCCATGGGTTAATTTATCTACAACAGACTATAGGTTGGAGTTTCAAAGTTTGCAACTTTGTTAAATATTTTGGAAAGAAGGCGGGGCTATGAAATGTGTGTGTGTGCGCGCGCGTGTGGAGGGAGGGAGGGAGGGAGGGGTAGAGCGTGACATCACCACAAAATAATCATAATTCAAGTGTCTCTAAGAAAATCAACCTAATATAAGTTATCTTTTGGAAAAAAAACTTCTGGCACTCTTGACTCTTCTTTATATTGTCACATTGACGAAACTCAAATAGCCTTCACCTGGTAATGTACATCCCAATAGCTTTCCTATGTCAATTACCAAAACAATGTCTCAAAACCTCGTACCAGAGAAACAAGGATGAGAAATGATTACTCCGGGTCAACATTCCATTTTCACAAGTAGATCCTTCACTCATAAATACTTGGAAGCAGAAGTCAAAATATATGTAAAGAGGCATGCCAAAGTGACAAAAGAAAACAACAAGTAAAACAAATTATAAACTTACATAAAAAAGCTCAATCAGGATAAAACGTAAGACTGAATAGAATGTCATAGCTGCTCCACTGCCACAAAGTTGTTCGCAATGGCCAGGTAATATCCACAAGAGAACAGGAATGACAACAGATTTTAACATCAATAAACTGCAAAAGGCCAAAAAAATAAAAAAGGTTCATAGCAGTTACATCACTACAATCAGGTAATCTCACTAATTAGTCAAAAAATAAGGGTTAATCGTACTTTAACATCCTAAAATTTCGTCAATTTTTAACTTTTACATCCTAAAATTTGGACTTTTATATTCCTAGAGTGAAAAGAAATTCCCTCCGGATCCCTTTCTTCCTCCTTCACCTCTGTAACCCTGAACTCATTGCAGTTGAGTGCTCTAATCAAATTCTACACTTTTCCAAACACAAATGGCTTAAAGTTGGCATTGAACTGTAGCAAAAACAATCCTAAACCCATAAATAACATGGACTTTAAGCAAAATTAATTCGATTTTACCCCCTTCTCAGTTACGGTAAAGGGGTAGTTTTCAGAGTTTTTTTTTGACAAGTTTAAACTTCAGGGTAGAAAGGTTAAAAAATCATTAGAATTTCATCCAGATACTTCCAAATACGAGTCTTTTCTATCATTACGCTCTTAATTCAACAAAAGATTTAAAATTTAGGGCTAAAATTAAAAACCCAGGAAATTACCTTCCCAAAAAGATGAATCCGTTCAAGAGGAAGCACTGCCCCGTTCTGATAGACAACATCCTCGAACTGAACCAAATATAGAATCAAAATAACATTAAAAAACCCAACAAAAATATCAAATTATCGGGCAAAAAAATTGGAAGGGGGAAGAGATGAACTTGATGCATAAGCGAATGACTCTATGAAGACAGCAGGCTTCTTTGAATCCAGCGAGATAGAGATGACCTGCTTGTTTTGTGTAGAGCTTGAGATTCTCCATTGAGAATCGATGAGAGTTTGCTTCTCCTCTTTTGGGCTTGGATTAAGGGAAAAAAGGTGGGAAATTGATAGGAGTTTAATAATTGATAGGAGCGTACATTATATAATAAGAGAAGTTTAAGCGATTGTCTTATCTTGGGGATTTTAAATTTTAATTATAATTTTTTTTTTTTTTAGAGTTTTTCTAACGGGTGCTCACTCATGAGAGAATGAGAGAAGAGATACAAAGAGAAATTAGTGTAAATTTAAGCAGGCTCACTTGCTATTCATTTCTCTACATTTCAATAGACTTTGATCGCTAATTCTAAAAGAAATTCTAGTTGAGTTATGCTTCTATTTATGATATTCAGGATAAAGATACTCAAATTTGATTTTAAATTTTTAAAATCTAAAAAATCCTCATCATAAGATGTGTAATCCATGGAGCTTATTACTCTGAGATTCTTAGTTCAAACTGAAACTTTTCGCCAGATTTTAATTGATCGATATTGATCTAGGGTGTTAATCATTTACAATCAAGATTCAAAATTAGATTAATATACATAGAATATCTAGAGTATATTTTTAAAGAATTTTAGTATATATTATTTATGCATCATATATCATCAAGAAGAACATTTTGAAGTTTTTTAATAAAGTTGCTTAATTTTTACTTATTGATTGATACATGTCACGAAAACATCTTGATATTATTGCACTTTTTTATTTAGATGGCACAACATGTCCTACAACGATGCAAACTTTCAATATATCTATATCTATACATCATATAAAAGAGAATTGCATTATCAAAACTTTTGATTTTTTTTTTGCCCTTTTAAGTTTGATAATTTTCAAATATGTCATTAGTTATAATCAATCATTCAATAATTATATATAACCTCTTATTAATAATGCATTTCTTTACTTCTTCAAAACCTTTGTTGCACTATTATTTTATTATTTTATTATGTTATTTAATAGAAATTTTAAAATTTATCCCTAATTTATCTCCACATAATAATTTAAATTCTAGAAAAATTAAGAATAATAAAAATTCATTAGGTTTTTGCCTTATGCATTTGGTGTTCACCTCTTATGGAGGACTACCTGTTACCTTTCATCTTATTAGCCTTTCAAAAGTATGAAAAATAATTTATATTTGTTGTAATTGTAATAGTATTAATAGTATAATGATTTAAATAGTATTTTTAAACTAATGATTAACACTGTAATTTAATAATTATACAATTTAATAAATTATTTACTAATAGTGTAATAAAATAGTTATTAAATTAAAATGTAGTTACTAATAGTATTATAATTATGCTATGTATAATATTATTATAATTAAAAGAGAAGAAATTATTTGATATAATATAATTATTTTAATAAACTAGAGTAAATTATAACAATAATACAAACTATAATAATTAATTATATTGTTCTTTATACATAGTTTTATCGTACAATTTATTCATTTAAATAAAAAGTATAATTGTTTAGAATTTATATTGCTATACAACTCATTTCATTATTTTGTAGCCAACAAAAAAAATTGAAAAACATAAAATAAAATATGTATGCTCTCGTGCAAAGCATGTGCATTATACTTAGAGCTGTCTAAACGGTCCGCCCCCGCCCGGATTTTAAGGTCCTGGCCGGGCAAAATGCCTAGCCCGGCCTCAGACTTAGGGTGCCCAGGTCGGGCCCGGGTCCAGGCCAAACTGGGCCGACCCGGATTTCCTTTTTTTTGTGCTAAACATTGATTAACAAATTATATTAATCTTATTATATCTATATACATATGTATTAGTATATAGCTATATATTATATATAAGTATATATAAATATACATTAATGACCATATTATACTATAATTATATATAGTATACATTAGAAATATATATGTAAATATATACAAGTATACATTAATGACAATATACACTTAAAAATATATAAGTATACATTAATGACAATATCATACTATATTATATATAAAATTTATATATATAATATATATATATATACAGTATAGACTCTTATCAACTTAAGTTGATGTCCACCAAACTTCCTAACCACTCATTTATTAATATAAAAAATCTTTTCATATCATGCAAGGATCCCTAGGCAATATGAGTGACTAAAAAGTTTGCGTGAATAACTTTTTGCTATCCACTTAAGTTGACACCAAGTTTTTGCTATATATATATAATATATATATAATATATAATTAAAACCCGGCGCTCGGTCGGACTTCACACCTCGGTCAGACCTGAGCGCCTAGAGCCTTGCCCGGCCCCGGCTTTTCCGACCCAGACCGGGTCGGGTCCCGACCTAAAGCCCATTTCGACAGGCTAACTATACTAGTAAAATTAAAATATTAATTTAAGATTGATTGTATTTACTATGAGCATTGCCCAGTTTAACTGAAGCGATTCTAAATAATTATAATTATGTTCAACTGCTTCACTAATTGATGCTAGGTAGAAACCTCTATCAGCACTGTCATATCCAATCCGAAAATCTTTGAAAGAACCGAATATTTTTTTATCAAAATAACTGGTTTATTATATGGGATTATATATATACTATATATATATATATATATAATATATAAAAAATATTATTATCATCTGTAAATATTTTTGAGCATTTTAGACTTCTTAATATTTGGACATTATGTTCAACAGCCATCGGAGAATAAGAACAATCTTTTCAACAAACTGAAAATATCCTCTCTTGCCACGGATAAAGATAATGGAAAATAACTTTGTTATAAATATGAAAGAGTCCTAAAGTGTCAATAAGCAAAATTTACAGATAAAATAAGCAGCTACGTTATAGGATGGGGGTATATTTGTAATAATCCATTACAATATGGGAAAGATAATTCTAACACCTCTGATATATATAAAAGAAAGGGTTACTTGCATATATACCCGTTAAATCATGGGTATTTGCAAAAATATCATCTAAATCTCAGTATTTGTGAATTTACCTCTCAAATTATCAAAATTGGAAAAAAAAATTACCCTCAAGGCAATTAATCATCAACTTTGATTATTTAATTTGAAATTGCAATGTAAATATCATCAACAAATAGTCAAAATTTTAGCACCAAGTTGATGATTTGTTGGCTTTAGGGGTATTTTTTGACAAAGTTAATGATTTAAGGGATAGTTTTGCAGATACTAAGATTTGGTGGATGTTTTTGCAAATACCCATTATTTTAGGGGGTATATATGCAAATAACCCTAAAAGAAAATTAAGAGCAATCCAAATTAAAACCTTATAGTGTCCTATATTTTGCACTTATATATTCTCACTTGTTTTTGACAACAATTATATATCCTAAAGTTTTTAAAATGTGTACTTTTATACCTTATGTTACGTAAACGCTAGAATTTTATCACAAAATTTCTACATGACACTCACAAATCTCATTTGAGAAATTTTAACACCTAAAGCTATGTTTCGCAAAGGCAAAATGACCAGATTGGCATATTTTTTTGAGGTTTGGTGACATGTTGGTATATTTTCTTTTAGTTTTGTCAGATTGGTATATTTTTCAACTCCGGCGTCATATAAGCCTTAAATTTGGCCGGAGTTACTGTTCCGACCAGGGCTGATGGGATTTTTGGCCGGAACAGTAACTCAAAATTTCTGGCCACGGTTAGATACGTAACTAAAGAAACAACATGAAAATCACAAAACCAAACTAAATTCTTGGCTAACTTACTCACAAATACAAGTAACTCACTGCAAAACAAAATATTAAGCGACATATAATGTAGGAGTCTTGTCCCAAAAAGGCCTGCCCGGACATTGGCTCCCACACAGCAGGGACGCCCAGGGAGCCTGACCAGGCCCGGTCGGGCCGGAACCGTCCGCGGCCCGGCCGCGGGCTTGGCCGAAAACCTGCGCGGGTCCGGGTCCGACCGTGCGCGGCCCGGGCGCCGAGCCCGACCCGGAATAATATTTTTTTTTTATTTTTTATTTCCTTATATATATAATATATAGTATTAATATATATATATATATAATATATATATATATATAATATATATATTATATATATATTATATATATATATTATATACTATATAATATATATTAATATATATATACTCTCTCTTAGTATATAATTAATATATAAGTATACATGCTCTTATGTATATAAGTAATCATATATGTATTAAGTATGCTCTCTTAATATGATGTATAGAGTATATCAGTGTAATACTCTCTTAATTATATAAGTATAATATTGCAGTATACTCTCTCTTATTTATGTAATATATCTCTTAATATAATTATATATATTGTCTAGACGCGCTAGAGGGGGGTTGATTAGGGTCTTATGCTAATCTAATCCGATTTTATGCCAATTAAAATTAATTAATAAGTTATCCTAGCAAGTATGAAATACAACAATGTATATGAGTTAGGATAAGCAATATGAACAACAAGATATATCCTAACAAAGAGATATAGGCAATGTATGTGCAAGGATATATAAGCTCAAGGGTAAACAATCTAAACTAGAATATAATCAACAAGCAATATACAAAGGCGATATAAGATATGAACATAAAAGTAAGTGCGCCAATGCAATCACAAACAAACAATATGATTACGGAGTTCGGTCCCCACGACCTACGTCTCCGCTCCTCATCTCGAGGAGATCTCCACTATCACAACCGGGTTTTCTACGTTCACCCGAACAACGTTTACACCTCACAATTTAATCACTATACAATCACACATCACACACTAAGTGTTGGTCCTAGCCCGTGTCCTCCTCCTCAAGTGCTCGGTTACAACCTCTCGCCCCTAGGCACGTCAACGAGCGCATCTTCCTCTTGGATTCAGAACCCGGGTCTCGTCACCGACACACTCTCTCGTGTAAAGTGTTTGACAAGCTGAATCCTTAACAATTAGGGCTCCGAACTGACAAAGTTTTGTTGCGTCTGACAATGAATGATAACGAAGATGTATAAGCTCACTCTCTAAGTTACACAATCCCAACAACCCAATATATTAATGGAATGTAAAATACAGATAAGCCTCAGATGCTT